GGTCGTAATTGGATTACTAGATTGAATACTACTTTAACAAAAGTTAATACGACCAATGAGCTCAACCACTGTATGCTTACGGCTATGATGGCATCTGAAGTCACCCAGACGATTAAATAATCTGTTAGAGATTATATATGTTTTGTTAAAACTGTGTATGTAGTTTTCTAACGATATAGAGCTTTCATAACACAAATCAAATTTATTAGAGTTGTCAAATGCGTGCATATTCTTTGGTGACCAATTTCTTGGTCTGGAGAGAAATTCCATAATCAACAAATGAGATAAAACCTCTACATGGGTACGTACCACACAAAAGAACTATAAGCAAATGGTATAATCGATCACTCAAGACGATAGACGCGTTAAATTAGGCACCGAATGCAGACATAAACCACTGCTAAAGCATCGAGACCACACTCCACCACCTATGTAATAGCAAGGTCACAGCACTCATTGAAGCGACACAACACAAAACATTAAACAAAGTTAACTACTCCGTGAAGGAAACCACTAATCAAGTCGACACCGTGGTGCCAACTACACCGCTTTTAGAGGTATCCATAGCATCCACCGGAGGAGACGTCACAGATCTGGCTAGGCAAAGCAGCTCAGCCACTGGTCAATTGATAAGTGATTCACTCGATCAACCCCATTAACTCTATATATAGTTCATAGCGGAGTATGGTTCATATTTCAAAGTGGACACTCGATCAACTGCGATTCACTCTTAACTTCTTTGAGCAAGAAATATAGTAAAGATTTTTCGTGTTCTCTTTTTATCTATTTGCATTCGTTCATTTGTTTTATGTTTTGAGACTTTTTTGTTTACTTAATTACTAAACCAAAAAAGAACTGTCATTAGCACTTCAAAATTTTCATTCTACTTATGTACTTCTCACTAAGTATTCTTCTTTCTAATTATAGAAAATTTGTAGTGCAAAATGAAATTTCTGGATTGCCAATAACAATCACAAATGAATAAAATCTAAACTACATATTAATGAAACCTTATTTGTCAACCAAAAGAAGGTGAAAAAAAATATTTTTATCAACAAAAAAGTTAAGTATAGTAATGTAATTTCACAAAACTAAATTTTGTTGTTTTTTGTTTAAGCCTCACTTAAAAATGATTGTATCATGTCTAATTAAAAAAAAAAAAAAACCTCTCTCTCTTTCTCCCACTCCCACATTCTCTCCCCTTCAAAATTTAAAAATAAAAGTAAAATATTTCAAACACACTTTGCATGTGCGCATGTACTAATAAGAATGAAAATCGCCACATTTAGACCAACTTTAATTAGAACACACTTATGCGTCTAACAAAACTGCTGGGACAACTTCTCATCGGTTTTCCAAAATATGATTTAATTAGATTGTGTGATTTTCATACTTTCATTTATTTTATTTTTCTTCATTTTGCATCATTCTCTTGTTTTTGCTCTTTAACTTTTCTTTAAAAAATACTCTATCGATAATAAGGTTAAATAAAATATAAAAACATGTGTAAGTAAAATAAGAGTGCAAAATTCATTTTCCATGGTTGCCTAAGTCAACAGCTGCTCGTAACTGCGGGTTGTTCTCTTGCGATATTATTTATTATTATATGGCCTTGTTTGACAAAAGTCACACAGTTGCCTGCTCATGACTTGTTTCTCAATATATATAATACCCATTTGATTTGAGAGCCAAGTAGCAGCATAACTAATTTGAACATGATGTGCGCGTTTCAGATGAATTTAAAATTGTAGTGTTAAATAAAATAACATACCACGTGAAACACGAAGTTAATTAAAATTCATAGAACACGTCTCAGTAAAGAAAGTTTGCCTTGAAAGTCAATTTTTCAAATGCATCTCTTTTTGCCAAGACAATATATAATGGGTTACTTCATCGGCTTTAAACCATAATCATGACATATACCTAAGGCCCAAAATGTGAGCTGCTACCTCCTCGGCTTTTTACATATAAGTTGGAGATTTCGAAATCTTCAGTATATTCTACTTTAAATTACTTTAAAAAAAAATCTTAAACTTGGAAGTTTTAACATTTTCTAACAAATTTCAGAATTTTTTTAATCATAATAGATGATGTGACATCCCACATCGCCCAGGGGAGTGATCCTTAAATGTATATTCCCATCCCTACCTAGCACGAGGCCTTTTGAGAGCTCACTGGCTTCGGGTTCCATAGGAACTCCGAAGTTAAGCGAGTAGCGCACGAGAGCACTCCCAGGATGGGTGACCCATCGGGAAGTTCTTGTGTGAGTTCCCAGAAACAAAACCGTGAGGGCGTGGTCATGGCCCAAAGCGGACAATATAGTGCTACGGTGGTGGATCGGGCCCGGGTTGTGGTGGGGGCCCGGGCCGGGATGTGACAGATGAGAACTTTTTTATTGTAACAGAAATACAAGTGGTACACCACGTGTTTTAATAGAAGCGGTGGAAAATTTTATTTTTTAAGTTATTAACTTTTTAGCATACATTTCCCACTATTTGTATAGTGACATGTGGTGTATCATCTTATGTACTGGTCATACTAAAAAATCTCTCGTAATAGATGTTAAAAATTGAAAATTTTTAAAGGAAAATTTTATTTTAACCCATTGAATCTATTTCTACACTCAGCTTACTCTTTACACCCATATTATTTTTAATTAAACTTTCGATATATCTTTAGACCCAAATTTATTGCCTGAATTGTCCTCACAACCCAATTTAAATATGTAAATTTATCTTTCAACCATTTAAAACATAAAAAACCAAAATGAAATGAAAAGAGCTGGAAAACATGCAAAAAACAATGATGCAAAGAACGTAGCTGTTGGTGGTTTGGCTAATTAGAATTTAGATTGCAAAGCAAAGACTAATATTATCAGTAAGATATTATATGAACGCAAACATGAGGAACTTAGCCAATCAATGTTGTCTATTATCTAAATTGTGACTCTCGAATTAAGGAGTAGCAATTTGATATGTAATCCAATAACAAAAGCAGTATGTTATGGTTATAGGTAAATTAAGAAGTAGAAGACTTAGTAAATGGTATCCAAAAGGAACAACAAATACTTGATAAACTTATACAGCTAATAGTCAGAATGTTAGTATATGGCATATCGATCAATAAATCAATAATTCAACTCTCGCATAAATAAATTTTGTAACATCTCACATCAATTAACAGAGAGGGGGTGATGTGCCTTATATGTACATGTCCACCTCCTATAGCACGAGGCCTTTTGGGAACTCATTGGCTTCGGATTCCATCGGAACTCCAAAGTTAAGCGAGTTTGGGCGAGAGCAATCCCAGGATAGGTGACCCATTGGGAAGTTCTCGCGTGAGTTTCCAGAAATAAAACCGTGAGGGCATGGTCGGGGCCGAAAGTGGACCATATCATGCTACAGCGAAGTCGGTTTAGGATGTGACAATTTGGTTTCAGAGCCACTCTACCGTGTGGTACGAGTGTGCTGACGAGGACATCGAGCTCCTAAGAGGGGTGGATTGTAACATCCCCACATTGACCAATGAAGAGGGGGTGATCCTATAGCACGAGATTTTTTGAAAACTCACTGGCTTCAAATTCTATCGGAACTCCAAAGTTAAGCAAGTTCGGGCGAGAGCAATCCCAGGGATGGGTGACCCATTGAGAAGTTCTCACGTGAGTTTCTAGAAATAAAACCGTGAGGGCATGGTCGGGGCCCAAAGTGAACCATATCATGCTACGGCGAAGCCGGTCTTGGATGTGACAATTTGGTTTCAGAGCCACTCTGCCGTGTGGTGCGAGTGTGTCGACGAGGACATTGAGCCCCTAAGGGGGGTGGATTGTAACATCCCCACATTGACCAATGAAGAGGGGGTGATCCTATAGCACGAGGATTTTTGAAAACTCACTGGCTTCCGATTCCATCGGAACTCTAAAGTTAAGCAAGTTCGAGCGAGAGCAATCCTAGGGATGAGTGACCCACTGGGAAGTTCTCACGTGAGTTCCCAGAAACAAAACCATAAGGGTATGGTCGAGGCCCAAAACGGACAATATCGTGCTACGACGGAGTCGGTCTGGGATGTGACAATTTGGTATCAGAGCCACTCTGCCGTGTGGTGCGAGTGTGCTGACGAGGACATCGAGCCCCTAAGGGGGGTGGATTGTAACATCCCCACATTGACCAACGAAGAGGGGGTGATCCTATAGCACGAGGCTTTTTGAAAACTCAAGGGCTTCGGATTCTATCGGAACTCCAAAGTTAAACAAGTTCGGGCGAGAGCAATCCCAGGGATGGGTGACCCACTGGGAAGTTCTCACGTGAGTTCCCAGAAACAAAACCGTAAAGGCATGGTCGGGGCCCAAAGCGGACAATATCGTACTACGGCGGAGTCGGTCTGGGATGTGACAAATTTATATTTTAGTTGGAGGATTAAAATTTTCAAAATCACTCTCCAACCGTCAAAAAGAGCTTATTTTTTCTTTATGAAAGCATCTTAGGGTTTTTACCAGAACAAAACGCATGTTAAAAGTTACATAATGGTTAGAGTTTAGTTATTGATTGTGAGTTTATTAATAAATCTTGTTTTTTTTTTGTTAATTTTATCTTGTACTTGATGGTAATTATGCAATAGGATAATAAAAATATTTCACATTTAAAGTTTAAGTTGGATATAGAAATAGGTTAAATAGGTTCAAATAAAATTTCTCATTTTTAAATTGAGAGAAAATTCCTTTGCGATAGTTTGGACTGGAATTAGATTTCCCTTCTGATAAAAAAAGGAAATATAATTCCCCAATTTCGATCTTTCCGAAAATTAAACCTTGCTTGTATCAATCATATGGTCTTACATGCTAAGTTTTTAAATATAAATGTACGATGGTGTGAAATAGTTAAATGTATATTTTCGCATTTGGGTTCACATTAACAAAAGGAAGAGACTTCCATGGGAGAAACGACGGAGATAAACTCAGATAAGCAGCACAACATGACTAACTGAACTACCTAAAACAACTGACGGGAAGAAAGAAGAAGAGCGCCTACTAAGATTGCGTAGTGTACATTACAATACAAGATTACATGACACCAATCCGACATAGGAAGACAAAATTTTTTTTTTTACTTTTACCCTTAACATCCTTACAAAGTGCTTCTCTCCTTCCACCCTCCCCTCAATTATAACCTAAAAGAAAACGACTTAAAATGTGTACAAGCAACTTCCATCATCACTTTTAGCCATTGGATCAAAGTTTTCTGCTGTTGGATCACTGAAAAACCTTCAGGAACTGGAACATTCACTTGCTGCGCTGCTTGGCCTACACAAGGACAATTACAAAACCGTTAATACATATATTTTTTCGTGGGCCCTAATACATTTTGTAAATTTACCAAATCAAGTTAATGGATCCAAACCTCCCACAGGAGCTCTCTAAATATCAAGGATCTAACCGTAGAAAGTTCCTGTATTCATAGCATCTGAGTTAGCATCACCAAGAGCAGCCTCGCTCAAGTACTTATCAGCCAATTGAACTCTCTTCACATTCTCTTGCTCTTGGACAAGCATGCTTCCGTACTCGAGGAGCTTTTCGATGGTCATCTTCGGCTGCTCGAAAGTTGGGGGTCCTTCCTTTGAGTTCACAAGCTTCTTCCCAATGCTATCCACGCCAACACCCGTAATCCACTTCCTCACTTCATCATCATAAACCCTAGCCCTCAAGGCACCAAAGAAATCTGCAAAATTATGACATCGTGTCAGAATGACTATCTAATTACCTAACATGTCAGGATGTCAGACTATTTAATTAAGGTACACGAAAACATTTAGCATACCAATAGATTGGCCTGGGAAGGTGTCAACAAGCTTGACAATGTCTTCCTTAGCAACATTGTCGCTCCTGAAGATCCCAATGCAGACTCCAATACGATCTTCGCGGGTGGGAGCCCAGTAGAATTTCTCCATACGGCCGTCACGGATGAGAGGAGCGTACAATGTTGAGAAATCGTTACCGGTGACAATGATTGGGACACGGGGGTTCTCCTCCTTGTTGTACATACCTGGAAGCTGGACGTTTGTCGGGTTATCAGCAATGTTCATGAGGGTGGCATTCACCATTTGGTTGTTGACAGTGTATTGGGTGGTTCCACCAAGCCGACCAGCTCCTGCATCAAGATCGTTGATGAAGAGTGCACACATTTTACCCTTCCTGATAATGTCGGCTGCTTCACGGTACCTTTGCCTGATCAGCTTCGCGGGTTCTCCTGCGTTTCCACTTTCCAATTCTCCGGCACTCATCATGATAGGGCTGAAAAAATATCATCAAAAAGCTAGGTTGAGCAAGAAGCGCGCTTATTATCTGACCAAAGTGACCATAAACTGCCAAACTGGCAACTATTTTTCAGTTCTAAGTTTTCAAAGAAATTATATTTGAAAACCAAAATCAAACTAAAATATGAAAACTCACAAAAGTAGTATTCAATTACCAAAAAAACATTTCAGTTCTAAAAAAGTTACTAAAGAAAATAAAGGAGTTTTCTGTTCAAATAAAAAAAAAAAAGTTGAAACATGCAAAATCTGAAAACTGAAAAAAGAAATAGCTAACCTTTAGTTACTTAGCTTTTCAATGTGTGACATTCAAGTCTTAATACATGAACAATTTAAATTGAGTGACATAAAGCACGTGTGACAAATGAACTGACCTGATTCCCATCTTGGCAAAGACAAGCTCACACTGGAAAGACTTGCCCTGACCTTTGCCTCCCCAAATACCCAAGATGAGAGGAACCTGCAAACAAAGTTAAGTGATGATTTAAGTTAAATTCCTGCAATTAATATAATTATGGAAGAAACTCATAGTTAAATCTTTGATAGTGATATCTACCTTGATGTTAGGAAGGGTCATGAAGTTCTTGGTGATGTGAACAACAAGCTTGTCCATAAAAGCGGGAGCAATATAATAACCGTCCATGTTGTTGTCAAAGTTGTACCTATTCAAGAACCATCTCGTTACCATCTTGTTAACTGTAATAATCCGAAACTTAGAAACAATTATATTGGTCGTGGATTTGGAACCGTGAAATATTCATAAGAATATATATGATCTCTGAACTTACTGGCGAAGCCCCGTGCTGATGTATTCATAAGAGCTCATGATGGCAAAGTGAGTTCCTGTTCCTTGAGGTGCCTGGAAGAGGGAGTCCACCATACCCTTTCCTCTTGTGATGTCTTGTTGGTCGTCGGAGGTGTCGAAGGCAAGGCCTTTCCATTTGTCCTTGTCGGTCTGCTTATCTTCGTCCACACTCGCGACAATCCTGAGGCTTCCAGAGGAAACCTTGGAGTTGGTGAACCTTGAGTTCACTTTCTTCAAGCTGCTTCCCAAAAAGGTTGAGATTGGAACTAAAGCACTGCTGCTAGAGCCATTCAGGTTCAGCTTCATTAAAAGTGCAACGATTAGTTTTCCTTTAGTTTTGTAGTGATTACCTTCCAAAACTCACAAATTGTTTCCCAAACTCACATAGGTATGATAACTTCTGTTTCCCAAAACTATGAATATGAACTATTTATTAGGTTGATTCTTGGTTGTATATGTAGTTTGGATAAATAATTTAAGTATTTATCTAGAAGACTTGAAAACATAAGTGTGACAAAACATTACCCTAAGTAGGTAACGAATATATAATTAATGACAATTACTACTGTTTAGCTTCTCAGCACCTGATGATTGTGCATACAACACACACAAAAAAGTTAAGGCATAAAAAGGGTGGGAAAGGCGTAATACCGGTGCTCTGTTGACAGATCCAATGGTAGAGACAGCAGTGGCCATGATCTCTCGCGGATCGGACGGTTGTGTTCTAGTGTGAGTGACAGAGGGGGGGCACTCCTGGTTGCCTGCAAGCACAGTATGCTGTTGTGTTTTGAGCGGAAAAGAAATGAGAACTGGTTTGCCTTTATAGTGTTGCCGAGTGTACAGAATTTGACATCGTTTGGATTTGCTTGTTGAATGGTTTGAGACCATAGAATGAAGATTGCATTGATGCCACGTGTCAAACAAAGAGTGCTTGGAAACTCAGTCATTTGACTCGTTTCTTGGTGCTTGAGGACCTGAGGTTAGTTTTTAAGCTCTCTTCTTCTCCACCAAAAATTAGGCAATTTTTTTTGTGACAAAAAATAAAAATCAGACAATTTATTGGCCACAGAATTGAGAATGGAAGAAACTGGAAAAACCCATGTCTATTATTGTGGGGTTTTATTTTGTTGTTTTCTTGAATGAAGATGCATGAAGAGATAAGGTGAACCATGAATAAAATGTTTGTGACTAGCAACAATTTTCATTTCCTTATAAATAAATTGGATTTGTGGAAGAATTTTAACAAAAATGTATATATTATGCCAGGGCACAAAAATCAGTAAATCAAAATGTTTAGAGAATCCAAGGGCAAGATAAGATTACATTGGGCTGGTTATTTTGTTCCCTTGAGCCACAGTCTTGGCCTCAGAAATGTACACTGATTGTAACCTCTTAGAGTCCTGGCCCGGCCCATATCTTAAGCCTATCAACCATTCCACTTGTTAACCCGACATAATACAATTTGATTGTGAAAGTAAAACTTATCAAACTAGTATAAGTAATGGATTGCTTTGGTACTGGAAGTTAGAGAAGCTTCCTCTTTATTCGTTACTTCTTCAGTTCAAAGCTTCTCCTCTTCTTAGTGTATATTACTGTAGAATAGCATTTGTAACAAAACAAAATTACAAGGTACTCTTCAAACTAGTTAGTAATTTAATATGGTGCTAATCACTCATTTAAACTCGTTTCACAATATTTTTTACAATTTGAACTGACAAGTTTTACGCTATCAATGAAAGATCATCCTGCAAAATTTCATTAAAATTGAAGATGAGTTATTTAACTGGACTTGATAAATAAATAAACAATACAATTTACAATGATAATTAATAGGGGAAACTTGATATAAGTCCAATTTTTTGAGCCAATTGTAGGAATAGTCCAGTTTATTAAAATAAGTCCAATTTGTTATATTTAATTATTTAATTATCAATAGTTATCTGTTCGATGATAAGATTTATTATAAAAATCAAATTTCTTCCCAATTATCTCTTTGCTTATTTCTTTTTATTTATCTTTTTGTTATTTCTCGTTCTTCCTCCTACTTTAAACCCCATTTATAGATTTTATTTTTAATTTTTATAATCAACCTATATCACAGGTTAATTATATTTATCTACCTATATGACAAATTCTTTTTTTATAATCAACCTGTCACAGATTAATGTGTCTTACTTGTAGGTATGTTATGTTTATTCTACATTTTAATTAGGTTTCATATCTCACGTATAGGTATTATATACATTCATATATTTGTTACTTGAGTTAGGGTAGAATGTTTTGTAGATAAATTTATGTTAGTATATTAGTTTTTTTGTTATAAGATATTAAATATATTCTTTTGGAGTTGGAAAATGCATAATATTAGAAGATTTTAATTGATTTTTAATATTTTTAGAAAATATAAAATGAGTATAAAAGAAATAAAAACAAATAATTAGATAACTGGACTCACTCCTAAAAACACTCTACATTTTTGGACCTGGATCTAAAAGCCCCTAATTAATAACTAGGTCCCCTTTCTATCATCCAGACCCCCCCCCCCCTCTCTCTCTCTCTCTCTCTCTCTCTCTCTCTAGACAAACGCATCTGTTTGATAACTGAATTTGCATTTGTTTCCCTAAAAAACAATAATAATTAAAAGATCAAATGATTTCCAATTTCAGTAAGAATAATATGAATGAGCACTAAAAAATGAACGGATCATAAGTTCAATTTGTAGAGGAGACCTAATCGAACAGTTAGCACCATATTAAGTTGTTAATTAGTTAACGCTTAGGCATGCTTTTATATACAACCTTTAACTCTTTATAACACGACACACCACTAAATTGCACAAGTAAAACTCTTCAATCATATGAAGACATATATAGACTATTTCACCCATGAACACAACATGAGAAACCCTATGTTCCATTCTAATCCTGTAAATTAATTGGGAATATAAAAGAGACAACCTTTGTGTGTCAGTCATAATACTAATATAAGTATAGATTGGTCCTTTTAAAAGGAAAAAAAGATAAAAGACTCCTCATTTGTAGAAACTTCTAATTACATTCAAACTCTTATTCTGAATTTATTTATTTATATCTTTTTAAAAAGAATAAGCACGTGTCGATATATAATTGGTTAATATCAAAAGCAAGCATCGAGCTCCTCCCGTTGGATAACTGGCCACCTAATTATTAAGATGGTATGTCATACGAAACGGAAACGTTGTTAAAAACATTTCTTAATATTAGGTTCATGTCTCCCTGAAACCATTTGCTGTTGAATATGTAGGGCAAGAAAGAAAAGCCAGCAAATTAATATATAGAAAGACTGGAGCAAAGACCTGGGGTAATCAAAGCGCTCCCCGATCTACCCAAATTTTGATTTTTTTTTTTTTTCCGTAGTTTAGATTAATTTGGTGTAGAATATTGTTTTATATAAAAATTAAAATTAAAACATAAAAAAAAGCGAAAATCACACCTCTTAATCCTGATGACTCACAAAACCACATACTTCAACTCCCATGATTCTTTTTTATTTTTTTTTGGTTAACAACTCCCATGATTCTTTTAACTAAATCTTCTTCCTTATGATTAAAAACTCTTAAACTCTCTCAAGATTCAGCAGTGTGATGTGTAGCATTTAAATGAGAAACTGTATTCAATTACTTCAGTTGATGACAGCTCAAAATTTTATCAAGAACACAAGTGAAAAGGATTCACATGCAGCAACCCTGTTGGTATTGGTAACAAACAAGTACAAACAGAGCACCAAAAAATGCGAACGAAGCTAACAAACCCTAGCTACTAGCATTGCAGCTGGGTAAAACTGTAAAGGACGCCATGATAGGGAAGGACACTTTCATCGTTAAACTCGAAACTCGAAAACGGAAAGCTACCGCCCCCACCATCCCCCTCATACATTCCTTTCGCATGCATCAATTAATTCTCACTCGATTCCAAAAGGAATTTTCACATTTGTGATATGTGAAATGACAGAAAGCAGAAAAGTTTATGCGTTTTGCTGAAAATAGCATTTTGTCGCCTCCAACTCACTCTCTTATTTGCCCGAATATTTCTGCTTTTATAACCTAGAGCCCGAAGAAGAAATTTAAGCACTTATTACAACTCATTGTCAAACAGGAGATAGCTAGGGTTTGTGGGGGGATTGGCAGCTTGCTATTTTTGAAGCTTTTTTGGTGTTCCAGAGACAAGAACAGTCGTCTTAGCAGCGACCCGGCCGGATTAAGTGGCCAACAGCCAACCTGATAATGTAGGATTAAAATATAAACATGGGGACCTAATTAAGACGTGCATTATGGATTTAAAACAAGGTTAATAATGGAGCATAACGACAAGTAGAGACGCCATGAGTCACAGGTTCTACATCCAATCTCTAAGCTAGGAAAATAGGGTGAATTAATAAGAATGTGAACTCTAATCTCATTAGTTAAGGAAGAATGACACAGCAGAATCCACCAACCCCATCGTTTGATTTTGGCTCAAGGTATATTATAATTTGCAACACAGTGTTTTCCATGAATTCCTCATGCACTGGCTTATCGACTCGTCGAATGGTTGCCCTAGTAAGTGGAATAGAGGAGAATTCCATGGCCATCTAGTATACTAATGAACTTTTAGTAGAGTAAAATATAGTTTAATTACATTAATGAAGCTTATAGCAAAGTAGTTCAATTTGATATTGGCAACCCTCAAATTTTGACTAATAAGGTGTTTTTTTTCCATTTACAATTCGATATGAATTAAACTCAAATACAAGAGAATAGATCTACTGAACCAACCGTCATAATCCACAATTGCTACATAAACAAGATTGATTAAGGTACATCTATAGAACCCATAAGTTTATTTTGCGCAAGATATACTTTCCATATATGAGAAAGAAATGTATGGCTATTGTACTTGTCTCTACTAGATAGTCAAGAATAATGTACTAATTAGAGCTATGCTCTCTCATTTTTTGAGCCTAACTTATGATGATAATGATTAGGTCTTCCATCAAATATTGGACTCATTCGTGAAGATTATTTAATTAAGAACAAGGACCCTTAATAATTTAGAGGCATTAATTAATCAGGGAATGCTTACCCAATTTGAGATTGATGATGTACCCCATAAAGGAGACCCAAAAGAACAATAGCTTTCACTAAAATGAGGATGTCCTCTGTACAAAAAGAATACTTCAAACCCTTTCGAGTGATGGCTATAAAGACTAAATCTAAACTTTGGATATGCACCAGTCAATTTCTGGTACCACCTGAAAAAACCCTTGTCACAGGTTTGGTACTAAAAGCTTAGGACTATGGCAGGATTAGGCTCTTCATGTGGAGCATGCAAATTCCTACGGCGAAAATGCACAAGCGAATGCATTTTCGCTCCTTACTTCTGCTACGACCAAGCTGCAGACCACTTTGCAGCAGTACACAAAGTGTTTGGTGCAAGCAATGTGTCCAAGCTGCTACTACACTTACCGGTGCAGAATCGAAGTGATGCTGCCATCACCATGTCGTATGAAGCGCTAGCTCGAATGCGTGATCCTGTGTATGGATGTGTCTCGCAAATCTATGCACTCCAACAACAGGTTTCCATGCTGCTAACCTACTCCAAACTTCTCACTTACACATGTCAATACATAAATTTGTGTAGGCCATTTACCCATCAGTCCTTCCTCGCAGGTCGCGTACTTACAAGAGGAGATCGAAACTCTTGGGAGCCAAATGATTGATTTTGCAACTTTCCATCCAGGTAATAGCAACACATTCGTTGACCAGTTGCAAGTATTTTCACAACATGATGCTGTTGACACACAACATATCCAGAATCAATTACCAGAATCACCAATATTTCCACAAATAGGAAGTGCAGCTGCCAACCAAGGTTTTAACGGTGAGATGGATATAGAGATGCCTCCTTTACAGGAATGGGAAGAGGTGAGC